CCCGCACCGGGTTCCGTTTGTCAAGACAAAGTCAAGAAGGCCGGAGAAGCGGTAGGACAAGAAACACACATGAGACATGATAAACAGTGAGTGAAGGAGAAGGCCGGTCGAGCACCGGAACAGTTTATTGTTCTGAACTTTCAAACTCGTACAGGAATTCATCCTCAGAGCTAACAGCGGCAACAAAAAAGGAGGTAATTACAGGGAGCGTAAAACAATCTACTATCAGTGATGCAGTTTGGAGCTGACTGCGCAGGCCTCTGCACGCCGGCACCAAAATTGGCTGACAGAGCTCTCGACGTGAACCAGGCTTCGATCAATTATCGGCTCGTCTTGTGACCGGCGTGCACAAGTGTCTTGACGACCGCGAAGTTGTACTCATGGTCTGTTTCATAGGTGTGAACAGCAGCTTGTGATAATTCGCTACTCCGTCCCACAGCCAGCTTCTATTCATGCATGCACGACCCAAGCATGCGCTAAGTTTGACCTGTGTAATTGCAAGGTCAACCTAGGCATGGGATGCGATACGCTACCCCAGATTGCTCTTGGGAATTTAAACGGTCCTTAATTTTCATTATCCTGCTGCGCATGGTAGCATTGGGTCAGTGTGCAATTCCAAAACCTAATCCCAGAGCGATGCGCTCGGTCGTTTCTGAGACGTACGCGATGTATGACAGAGCGTTTCGCTGTTCGGCTAACCTTCTCTTTTACTCATGAAAACGTCTGGAACGCGAAACTTCATATTTATTCATGATAAACAGTGGCAGTTAGGCTCTAACCGATCGCATTACGGATCATACTCATATCGTTGTGCCTTTGAGCTTACCCTCGAGCTCCGCTAGCAGCCGTATAGCATCCAGTATCATAGACAGAATAATAACATCGACGAAGACAAAGGAGACTGGGATGGCCGTTTCTGACTTGCTCACCGTCATCATGAAGTCACTCCCAACCCCAATTTTTTCCAACCCCCTGATACCTGAACTCGCGACCCGTCGACTACAAGTGCAAAGCTTCAACCAAACATCATAAGACGCCAGAAGGAAATTGACCATTGCGGCCGATAACAGATGCACATAATTCGATTCAGTGGCGGCTCAGAAGGCGAACTGTTGAACAGCTGCTTGAATTCGGTATTTATCCCTGAAGCTGGACTTATGGCGGTTTTCACCGGCAGAGCAGCGTTTCTCTCAGAGGAAATGATAGACTGCCTCTTTAACCATAAGCACTGTGTATCTAGTTAAGCATTTTTTCTTGGAGAGTTGAGTATAGGTGCCGAATGACGGCATCTTTCCAAAGGAATTCGCTAATGCTGTCCAGTTAGGTCTGGCCGGGACACAACCAGGTCCCCCCTGAGCGTTTACCTGGTGGTACAGAGAAGTGACTTCAGAAGAGTCAGGGTATGTTTAAAAAACGTTATAGAAGACTCTTTGTATCAACCTCGGCTCGCCTACAGACTTCGAAATGTTAACCTTTATCTATAAGAATCTAAATCTATAGCTGCAAACCAAAAAAAAAACAGAATTTGAGGCAGGGGATAAGAGTTATCCGGTAGGTCGCAGAACTCCTCAATAGGTTAGCTCCCTAAAACGAGGATTTGCAACCAAGTTAGTTACTGAAGGGCGGCCAGCCGATCCAGGGGTAACAGCAGTCTAAACAACACTATGTAGGCGCGGCGACAGGCTGCTATATTTTTACCTAACCCATGCGAATATACTTGACTTCTACAGATCGTGGGGATGCTCAATCACAGACGCATGTCAGGTCTTTTGTGTAGACGTAAGCTTCAGCGTCTGGCCCAAAATTATAGCATCACCCACGAAAAGAATGCAGTCTTTTGAAGTTACCTCGGATAAACCGCTTGTAGGTACGAAGATTAGTAAGGCGGTTAGCATGAGTGTCCTGTGAAACTTCATTTTAACTAGAAATTAGGAGATTGTGGCCTTTTTAACAAGCCCGTGAAAAACCCAATCGACAAAAAGTTAATCCTACTAACTACATTATAAGACACTTAAGTCATGCTGATTCAGCCTTTCGTTGAAGATCTACACTGCAATCAGAAGTTTCGTATGGCAGCACGCTTCTCTAAGTCATGTTGACTACTTGTTAGAAGTCTATGTTGTTATAGAACAAGACGCATAACCTCATGAAGTGTTTTGTTCGTCGTTTTGTCCAACTCCACTAGTGATAAGAACAGTATGTTTCCGCCCGCCACTTGGAGGAAAAGAGTAAATAAAACGTGTGGCTAGTCATTTGAAACTAAAAACCCGGGATACTGACGAAACGTCAGAAAATGGACGTTGGAAATAACAAAAAACAGACAGCGCTACTGTCGGTGAACACGCCCTGATAAAGCAAGAAATCAAAAAAGTTATTGAATAGTATGTGTGCGGTAACCGGAACAAATGTTTAGATATTCAGTTCAATTGGTACAGAAATTATTCTATCATAGTCTTCATGCTGCCACCACTACCACCTGTGTTACATGTGAAGAAGTGGGGCTTTTTACACGTTCACTGCGAGATCACATAGGCCAATCGCAGCGAGCACTTAAACCATATCTTACTGAAGAGGGACGCTATATTGAGTCCAACCTTACCACTAGGCAATAGTTGTAAACTATGCTCAACAGACTGAAAAAGAGCAGCGACTCGGCATAGACTACTGATGGTAGCCGTTACCAATAGGCAGGTCAGATGACGTTCTCAGAACGCATATGAAGGTGCCGCGTTCTGAAAAATTATTGACCCGGCTGGCTGAATTTCCAGCCAAATTCGTCAATGCAATTTTTTGTCGAAAAGTCTGCAATCTAGATTTTGTGATACACCCGAAACACCACTTTCGAACAAATCGGAATGGTCGGCAGTTTATATTTGTTATCCACCCACTTTCTGATCTGCCGTTTTTGCGCACTTTGACAGTGGACTGACTTAACTGCTAGCTAAAATAAACAAGAAGGCCCCAGAAACATACATGCGCTAACGTTGGATGTAACGCAGCGAAATCTCAAGCTCACTTAAAGGTCGTACCCTCCTTCGCACTAAGTACAACAAACTCGTCCTTCGTTTGTACAGTTCCCGTGGATTCTCGCTTGGCAAGCATGTTCCATATCTGCCTGCATGTTGTCACATTGAGCACCAGTGCAAGTCACCAACTAATCGTTTGCCTTTCGATGTCTGTTTCGAGAATAAAGGTGAGCATGTGCCCTCCGGTTATTTGAGTAAGCACAACACGTTCCAGCTAATTTAGTCGGTTGTGTATTTGTCACTTGATGGGGAGGTCACTTTGTCGCAAGTTTTAAGAATGC